TCGGTCGGGGCGGGTGCCGGGGCTGCGGCGCCGGGGTCCCGGGTCGCCTGGGGTCCCTGGACGACGCGGCTCTGCGCGCCCCGGGCCTGGCGCGCGGACTCTGCGCTCAGAGACTCGGGCGATCCCGCCCCGGGAGTGGTGGCGGCGACCCGTGGGGACCTCGGAGCCGGCTCCGGCCGAGTGGGGACCCCGCGCCGCTGGAAGCTCCTGCCCGAGCCCTGGGGACGAGCGCTCCCCTCGGGCCGGCGGCTGGCAAGGGCGCGTCCTCCCCGGGGCCACCTGCCCGCCTGCTCCCCGGGCCCGGGAGGTGGCAGAGCGCAGAGGTCAGCGCCTGACGTCCCCCGCCGCCCACCGTGCGACCGGGAGTTAAGTGCGCGGGGAGAAGCTGCGAGGCCCAGCGGACTTCGACCCGGGAAGAGGGCGGATCCCAGCAGCCCTTGTGGACTTGCGGATCCCGAGGAGAAACTCAGTGATTGGTTTCGTGAGAGGCTTTTTCTGAAGCCAGCGCAGGTTTTGTGTCGTGTTGTGTTTTGTTTTAAATAGCGCTATCCAGGAAATGATTTGGGTCTCCTACCATTTGCCACCCAGAGCAGTGTTTGTGTTTGCCAAGGAGACTCACCCGCTAAATTACGATAAAGATAAAATGGAAGCTGGCTAAGTTGGACTGGGGCTAAAAGCGAAGGTGGCAGGGAGGCTTCCTGGTTTCTCCTCTCTGCGACATCAGGTGACACCATGCACAGAGATGGAAGACGAGGGCCCAATTAAAACGTGTATTTCCTGCGATGTGTTAGGACTCAATTTTCAAGATTCCCTCAGGGAAGAAAACATCAGTTGAAGAATAAGAATTAGCCTAGAAAGTGTGTGCCCACCACCCTGGGGGCTGCCTTACATCTCTGGGAATTGTTTCTGCTGTTTCAGTCTGGGTGACAAGAACAACAGGCTGCCCTGGACTGGCTCCCGTTATCCTCTCATTTCTCCCTGTGACAGAGTCTCCCATTCTGGTGTCTGCGGGCTCCTGTAGAGTCCCTTCCTTCCAGGAAGTTCTTGAGAGGCTGAGCTCTGTGCCTTGTGGTTCACGTATAAAACTGGGGATCCTGGATGCCTCCGGACCTGCTTTCGTAAATTCTCCATCATCACAGGAGCTGGCCCTGTAAGGTCACATAGTAGGACCAATTGGGGGCTGCTGTGGTCAGAATGGAACTCGGGTGCCCTAGGTTTGCCCTGGAGTGGATCTAACTCTGGGCCTTGAAAGGTCACCACAGGCTGTCCTGAGGATGGCAGAAGCCAGATCAGACAGTGGATGGGCCTGACAAGATCCCTGGGCTCTTTTAACCCAGAGTGTGGGCAAAATGGAAGCAACTTGGTGTCACTGTTCAGCTCACTCGTCTTGGTGGGGTATGTTTGTGAGACTGGTATGCCCGCCAGCCCCCCATTTCCAGGGATGAAGCACTGGCTAGGTGGAAATAACTTGGTTCAGTCCTCAAGTTGGTTGGGTTTCCAGGAACCACTCAAATACCAGCCTCTGGGTCAGTGACACCAGGTCTTGCTGCCACTGTGAGCAGGCAGATCAGAGGATATTTGGTCACCACAGTGAGCATGCGTGCGTTCGTCATTCTTGAGTCGGGAGAGAAATTGCTCTGGAATGTGTAACCGGCAGGGGCTGAGTCCCTGCCGCCCGCACCCCACAGATGGGCATGGGCTGAGTCAGCGGAGACAGCTGTCTGCAGTCGCAGAGGTGCCATGCTCGTACCTGCCAGCCTGGGGCTCACAGCAGGGGCTGCCATCCCTGCCCTCACGCCAGCCCTTCTCTGTCCCTGGCCACGGCACGGGCCGGGGGAGGGGTAGTTAAAAATGATAATGAAGCTTTTCAGTAGCCTGGAATCATTGTAGAAAAATTGGCAATAAATACAACCAAACTGAAAAAAATAAAATAAAACACCTGAGCAGACCGCGTCACTCGCCGTCTCATCGACCGTGTGTGAACCGCAAATGGGGCCATCATGCCCAGTGGCTTTTACGAGAGCCAGCATTTGGCAATCGGCTTGCTCCTAGTTTTCTCTATGAAACATATAACACATCTGACGTGAGGGGAAGACTGAATTTTCATAGGTCTGTGAGTGAAAAGCCATTAAAAGTGACGTGGCACCCGTGACATCATGACATAAACCAGTGTGGTCACTGTGTCATCAGGGTCATGAAGTAGTGGGCATTGGACTGTCCGACTTGATAGAGCCGAGAATGCACCTTGTCCTGCTCTCTCTTGGTGGCTTTGTCCGCTGGAATCTGGAAGTGAGCTGCTGGACGCCGCTGAGTCGCTGGCCCGGGGCATCCGTGTGCAGGAGGCCCTCGTGCCCTGGCTCTCTGCCTAGGTGCTTTCCTGGCATCTGTGGAAGAACCTGTTTCCTCCTGCAGCCCAGCAAGCCATGGGGAAGGTGTTGGTGGGCAGGCAGGCATCTGATAGGCATCCCCTTCCCTGGATGGAACTAATTTTGCCCAAAGGAAAGAGAACGGAGCTTTGCCTGGGCGTGGCCTGGCTGTGCTGCCATGTGTGGCCAGTGTGGTTGAGGCGGAGAAGAGGAAGTGGAGTCCACTGGTCTGAAGGAA